GATCCCGTGCGGGGTTATTTGATGAAAGGTCTGTGCGACAGGCGGCTGGCCTCGGCGGCGGCCAAGGCCATCCACAATATCTGCTCGGTATGCCGGGACCACATGGCTCAGCACTTTAACGGGCTGCTGGAGATAGCCCGTTCCCTCGACTCCTTCACGCTCTCTCCAGAGGCTGCCGTGGGGCTCCTGAAGGGTGCGTACGGAAAAGCTGCCCATTTTTTTTTTGGGGGGGGGGTTGGGGGGCCTGTCACTCACCACGGACGCTGCCACCCCGTTTTCACATGGTTTTTCATAGACGAGAGGGTCTGGGTTCGCCCTGAGGCACTCCACGTGTCCACGTTTAGAGTCTTCTCAAGAGCTCGCTTGGGGCGGGAGGTAGGCGAGAGATCCTTTCTGGGTTTATAAGCGATCTCCATCCCCGCTCTGAACTTGAAATGCGGGAAGAAAACACTTGAAATGCTCGCAGCCAAGCTAGCGACGGGTTACTGCTGCATCCGAACACCTGGAAATCGGCCGCTGTACGCACAGGGTGGAAAAACTGCGAGTATTTGTAATTTTAGAGACAGCTTGGGCGCAAGAATGTAGTTTTTCGACTCCAGCCTGCAGCCGGAGCGTTCGCCTCTCACCGGGCCTTCGGCTGTTGCGCACCGTGTGCCTCTTCGACCACGGCTGGTTTCGGGGAGGTGCAGGACTCGTGTCGGGGCCTCAAAGATTCCCGACGGATTCGAGCGCTTCTGAAACCTTTAAAAATGGAGCAGCTCCGGAGCTTGTGCAGAGGGAGCCTTGTTGCGGCTGTACAGTCGGGGTGTGCGACTAAAGAGACAAAACTCCTGTTTTTTCACTCGTTTGCACCCACATTTCGATGCAAGCAGCATCAGCCACGCTTCTGAGCCGCTCCTCTCCCTGCCGCAAGGTGTTTTCTCCCCCTCCTTTGAAACCACCCTAGGAGTACGTGAGCCGGGGAGAATTTTGTTCTTTTTTGTTTTTTTTTCCCCCCTCCCGGTGTTGCCGTCGGCCCCAGCCCCGCGGTCTGCCGGCGCCTCCGACGTGGGGTGGCCGTGGTG